GCAGATAAATTCTAAGCAACTTTAAAGTTTCTCTTTTCACCACTGTGACCTGGTGAAAGAGACAGAATATCCCTTAATCTAGGGCCATCAATTTCTAGCCCCTAGTTCAGTCTCTCCCTCTCCCTATCTAAGATCCCAAAGATGCCTATGTAGATTCTAGGAGAGAGTTTTACTAAATTTGTAATTCCTAACCAACGCTGGCTATATGCCTTTCAAGTTACTATCACTGCATTTGAATCTTTGAAAGGAAAAATACACAATAAAATAACTTACTAGCCATGCATTTATTCATTTAAGCTTTTATTGAGACACTTAACCCAAATCTGCAACTAAGGTGTGTGGTAGGGCACACCTTACAGGGGATGAGTTTTAAAGGATGGGTAACTGCTAGCCGGGTAGAGGTGGCATTCATTCCAAGGAGAGCAAACAGCTGAACCAAGTATTTGCATGTGTGAGTGTCAGGTGGTAGGGGAGGAAATGGTAGGCAGAAACCAGTCAGCACTAAGTAGCTTTAATTTATGCTGAGGGCAACAGGATAACTTTAGGAAATTGTAAGGTAGGTTAAGAGTGATAATGATGAAGACAGTAAGCTGTTTTTAATTATTACCACTTGGACACAGTTAAGAATGCGCTGCAGTGGCTTTGATGAAATGTAGTATGAACCTGAATAAAAACAGTAACAGAGGGATGAAACTGAAGGGAGAGATTTGAGAAATATTAAAGAGAGAGATCAGCAGGACTTTGCCCAGTTTTGTTAGTAAGGGTAAAGACAGTCAAGCATGCAGCATATTTCTTGCTTGGATAACTCAGTGCTGGCATCCCATTTGATCATTCATAGATACGCTGCATTTCAGGTGGCTTCAGGACATCCAAGTGGACATCCAGTATGATTCTGCAGCTGAGAAGAAAAGTGTAAGCCAAAAATAAAGATTTGAGAGGCCTCAACATAGGTAGCTGAAGTCTCAGAGTAGATGAGTTCACATAGGAAAAAAAAAAAAAATCTAAATACATGTGTTAGAAATTTCTTCTTGGTGTATAAGTTTGCTCAATAGAGTATATATTTCATATTTATCTTATTTACCACTCTACCCCCAGTGGCTAGCAAAGTGCCTGATATGTAATTACTGTTTGAATAACTAAATAATTATTTGTGCAAATGTGTTTATTTCCTTTGGTTTGCTGGCTATTAAAATTATCTCACAGACGTGTAAGCCATGGCTAATGCGGATTTAGTTCATCTAGTTATTAAGTGATTATTTAAAGATAAAACTCCTTTGTGTTTGAAGATTTTAACTCATTTAAAAATTTTATCTATCAAATGTCCTTGGTCTACTGAAGGGAGGTGGTATTAGTAGCTGAAAAGAGTCTAGTTAAAAATGTGGTTTTTATTATGCTTTTTTTTTTTTTTTTTTTTTTGCATCTCCTGCCAGGACTCTGGCACTCTGCCCCACCACCTCTACCTCCTATTTCCTTTTGATGAGCTCACCTTTTGGGCCCTTGTTTCTACATTTAAAGGGCAGTCCAGCAGTGCTGGCATCAAAATTTCTGAGAGAATGGGGGAGAACCAACCTATCTGGTTTGAGGGTGAAGAAAGAGTTGAAATGCACTTGCATAGTCACCTGAAAGAAGACTGATGTAATTTCATGTATCCATATCAAAACAGAGATAGCTATTAATGATCCCTGCCTCCTGCCCATATGTAGACCTCTGCACCACTACTCAAGGGCTACTATCTGAGATGACATATGATTTGTAGCTTTAGGAATTTCACAAAACACAAGTTTCTTCAGCATTTCATTCGCTCCAATATCCTGATACATATCTGCTATTATATCACCCTATGTCATTCCTCATTGCACTTAACAGCATTTTTTTTCATATATTTCTTAACTTGATTGCTCTTTCTTCACTTGACCAGACAGTCCAGAAGGGCAGGTTCGATGTCTGGTTTTGCACACAAATAATAAAGCCTCATTTATGTATTTCGCACTTGAATAGTAAGAACAAAATCTTTGTATTTTCTTATGCATCTCCATAAAAACTGGTGTTTACTTATTCTTAACTCAATCTTTATAGCAACATAAAATTGTAGACTTTGTACAAAGTAAATAAGATATCTTTTATATATGCCTAAGTCAAGATCTAAAATATTATGGGGTACTACAATGCCACTTAACATTTCTCACTTTCTGCCTTTCCCTTTGATTTTATACCCACCCCAAATCACAGAACAACTGTATCTATCCTACATTATATATGAGAAAACTTTCGTATTTATATTGAGGCCTATAGGAAAAAACTATCCCACTTGCAAAGCATTCCCTTATTTGTACAAATATATACCTGTATTTATTTGTATATAAATATTTCTAACAAGGGAATGCTTTGCAAGTGGGATAATTTTTACCTATAAGCTTCAATATAAATACAAACAAACAATATCGAAATCAAAGGAACTGAGAGTACATAAAGATTAGTGCTACCAGAATCCTCAGATCTCCTCAGATACACAGTGGGGTACCTGACTCCATCATTTACTCTACTTTCTGTGTTCTCTGTTGATGATGAAGTCCACATTTGGGACTTACCATTGTATTTAAATCACATTTCTAACATGTTCATTCTCTCTCAGTAAAGGGGCTTGATGGCCACCAAAGGATCTTTCAGGCCCGGATGACATGTGCAGCTAAACTGTCATTTAATTTACCCCTTTAGGCTTTAAATTGCTGTTGAGAACATTAAAAAAAAAAAAAAAAAAACCCAAAAAACCCTTTGCTTATATTATATGCTAATTGTTTATACTTCTATAATCTTTTGTTTTCCTTTTTTAAAAAAAGTTACATTTAAATTGAGATTTCATTATGACCCAAAGAAAATTTTCTTCCAAAGGATATATATAAAATTTGTAGCATATAGATAGAAATTAGAGAGTCTGTGCTTTCTTCTCATCATCCAGAGTTAGCAGTTTTTGCTGGATGAATCAAAAAATTAAGAACGACGTACAAATGTTCAAAGAAGCAAAACAAAACACACTGTGGACTAGGTCCAGGTTCCATGCTAGCTGCAATGGGAAACAGGGAAGTAGAAGATAAAGTCCCCATGCTAGAGTAGCCAATTGGTTCTTCCTTCAAAGTATGTCCATAATACAACCACCCTTCACCACCTCCATTTCATATCTTATAACCTTGGTTGAAGGTCCTATAATCTTTTAGCTTTCCTACAGTAATAGTCTTCTAACTGATTTGCTGTTCCTTGAACTGGCCAAGTGTATTTCCATCTCAAGGCCTCTGTACTTGATTTTCCCTTTACACAGACTGCTCTTCCCATATATCCACAGATTCCTTCAGTCCCTTCAGGTTTCTGTTCAAATGTCATCACATCAAAGAGGCTGACACACTATAAAGTAACCCCATGTCTCCTCTCTACAATCGTGCTTTGTTCCTTTTCATACCACTTATCACTAACATGGCATATTTTTTTTATTAGTTTTCCTATTAGAATTATACTTCTTAATATAATTAAGAGCAGAGATGTTTTTACCATTTTGTGCCCTACTGTATCCTGTGTGCCCCAGCACAGTGCCTGACACACAGAAAGTATTCAATAAATGTCTGTTCGATGAAAAGTTAATCATTAACTATTCAAGTTAAATAACAATACAGGGCAAGAGCAAACTAATAATACAAGATAGTTCATAGTTAATTGCTAATTGAATAGCATGTGCCAGTAATATCTCAAAGAAGTATACATCAGCATCACTTGGGAAGCTTTTCTAAAATACACATGCCCAGACCTTATCACAAGACCCACTGTATCTCCCCAGGCAGGGTCCTGAGCATGTGTATGCTTAGATAGCTGCCCAAATGATTCTATTTTTTATTGTGGTAAAATAAATGTAACATAAAATTTGCCATTTCAATCACTGCCAGATTATTCTATATAGCATCCATTTAAAACTACTGGTATAACACTATGTCAGTTCAGCAGAGCAAGAATGGCAGAAAGCTTACTGGAAAAAAAAAAAAAAAAAAAAAAGGTATCATGGTATATTAAAGAGCACGGGTTTTGGAGTTGAATATAGGTCCACCACTCAATAGCTATGAGACTAGACAAGTTACTTAACTGTTAGTTTCCACATTCATAAAACAAAGATAATCTCTATGCCTTTTCTTTTCCGCTACATCCACTCCAAACTGCTCACAGGACACTGTAAAGCTAAGATGAAAACAAGTATGTATCTATTTTGGTGCACATACTAGGCATTAAACCAGAACTTACTGGAATTATTTTCACTGAAATAAAAAATGAAATCATGCTGGCAGAAACATAAAAAGTATGTGTAATCTTGGCATAAGTGGACAATAAAATATATCTCTTCCTCTTCCAATGGGACAGTTGAGAATAAAATTTTGCTAGGAGTTCCACAGGTATGATACTATTAGAACAGTGATTCTCAAACTTGAGCATGCTTCAAAATCACCTAAAGGGCTTGTTAAAACACACATTGCTGGACCCACTCTCAGAGTCTCCAATTCATTCAGTCTAGAGTAGGACCTGATAATCTGCATTTCTAACAAGTTCCTAGAACTTGTGATGACACTGGTGCCACTAGTCTAGGAATCACACTTTGAGAACAAGGGAATTAGAGTCTGCATATCCTAAAAGAATCTCTGAGATTAATTCCCTGAGTATTTTTTTTAAAAAAACCTGAAATAGTTCACTTAAAAAAAAAAAACATAACTGACAATATGCTTATGATTTTTAGAACATTTTACAATGTGATAAAAGTCAACTATGGAGATTCAAATAACACAAGCAGAATTTCATGCCACTGGCATCCCAATTACAAATATTCTGAAAACGAATTCAAAGTTAAAATAATTCTTAGAATACTCATTTCTTAAAAGTTACAAAACAGATAAAAACAAAACACGGCAATTTTAACAGAACAAATGTACATATAACCTTTGACAGGTATAATAACCTAAAAGAATACTTACATGTATGGAGGCATTCCGTCACTGTGGTTGGCTTGATCAGATACCCTTTACAGATATAGCAGGTAATGTAAGGATTAAAATCTTTCACCAAGTGTTTCCTTTGGGTAGCCATTCGTGGCTAGCTAAGACTGGCTTTAGTAGTTCGGGCAAAGAGGGGTCCTAAGTAGATGAAAGTCTGATCCCAGGAGCTGGTGTGGCGTTCCCAGTAGGACGTCCTGAGGCATGAGAACTAGCATCCAGATTTATCATGAGATCGTTGACCATCACTCCTTTTGGTGGTTCCGCTTTCCCATGTCTGTTTCCAAAATCATTTTAAAAAGATGAGAGAAAGAGGCATCAAATTCCTCATAATGTATTTAATGTCATTCTATTAACAGCAAGTGTTCCATGTTCCCAATTGCGTGAATAGGTGAATAGAATATATCCTTCGCCTTGTACCATTAACTTGCAAATCTGCTATAATTTAATTCGGAATGACAGATTCATCCAGTCCTGGAACTTCAACTATCACCTCTATACTTAAGACACCCAAAGCTAGTAACGCCAGTTTGACATCTTTACCTCTTCACTAATGCATTTTAACTATCTGCTTGACTGCTCTATTAGGAGTTCCTGCCAATACAAGTTAGAAGATTAAAAACAAGTCATTATCCTATCAAAATGTTCCCCATTTCCATTTTGAACCCTACATCCAGTTACGAGTCAAATCAAGTTGATGTTCTCTGCCATTCCATGCTTGGCTGCTCTACTTGTCTATCACCTATACACCTGCAGTCCGTCGTATATTCTGCTTCCAGGCACATTTTATTCTGTGGCACTTGGGTCTTCTTATCAATGAATGTCTTCTCTTTACAAAAAGAAAAAATGTTTCTCATTCTGTCACGTAAGATCTTCTTCAGGTTAACCTTAATATACCCTTCAACAACTTTCTTCAACCTGAAGGGATCACTCCTCTCCCACCGTCCCCTCTGCAAGTTCTAAGCACTCTATCAACAAGCTCTTTCTCTCCTCTGTCTGCAGTCTATCCCCCAAACCCATCTTCAATGCTATCCTCAGGGCAATCTTTCCCTATTTTTAATGCTTACTTCTTTCCTGTTACATTTTCCTTTTATGTTGATTTATAGTAACATTCATTCTTTATCTTCTTTACTAGACCAAAAACTCTCCAAAAGAAACTGGTCACATTTAGATTTATAACCTGGGTAACGTTACTTTCCTGTCTCAGGTTTTTTAACTTTAAAATACGTATCCTTTCAGAAAACACAACATGAAAGGTGTTTATTTTCCTAAGTGCATTCTATAAACAGAAACTTTCTCCTATCTTAGCTGTTAACTCATTGGTAAGTATAAAGCAACCGGAAAGGTAAAAGGCATTCCATCAACACATACCCACTGCCAATGTGTAGGGAATAGGCTCTGCGTGTAATTATCCTATCCTCTTGGGAAATCGTATTCGTGGGTGTTAACAGAAAGCAGGCATAATTAACAGAGAGGGGATCAGGGTTCTGGCCCTTAGTCCTGTATGACCTTCAGCAAAGAGTTTCTTATCTGTGCCTAGGTCTCGGCTTTCTCCTCCATAAATTGGGATTAACTGCCTTGCCTTTCCCACAGGTTTGCCATGAACCTCCAAAGTAAGAGAAAGTCCTTTGGAAGAGGAAATGCACGGTCCCGACCTGAGGTGGTGCTAAGATCCTAAGGCACAGAGCCCTGTGACCAAGACAGTTAAGGGAAGCAAGAACTTACAATGACCGGGCGGGGGCGAGGGGGAACTTTTCTGCGTTCTCCGACAGGACCCAGCGGCACAGCCCAGTGCGGTCCCAGGACCGCCGCGCCTGCCCGGCAGGTGCGCGGGCCCAGGCCCTGCGGGCGCGCTACTCAGGCCAGGGAGAACGAGCCGCCTTTCCCGGTCGGAAAGCCTGCCCCTCTCCCCGCCGACCGAGGAACGGCTCCGAAGTCCCCGCCCCGGCCGGTCGCCCCCTGCACCCGAAGGGTCTTCCAGGCTCCAGGCGGGGCTGGCCGGGGCAGGTGTCTGGAAGTGTCGCTCCCGCCTGAGGCGCAAACTTGGGCGGGAAGCCTGGCGTCCCGACCGCTCCCTTGCCCGCCTAGTACCTACCCAGCGGCCGCCACCGCCGCCGCTCCTCGCCCGCCAGCGCGCCGGCCTCAGAGTGAAGGAAAGTGAAAGAGAAACAGCACCCGCCACGGCCTGGCCGGTCCCCGCACCCCGTCCGCTCTCCCCCTGCAGGCGGGAGCGCGCCGGCTCCGTGGGGCCACTCGGCTCAGGCCCGATAGGGCGCGGTGGGCCTCGGGGCCCAGGTCCGGTGCCGCCTCCAAGAGCAACTCCACCCCCTTCCAACCGGCGGCATCGCCCGCCCCGTCACCCGGCCACGCCCCCGCCGCCCGGCCACGCCCACCACCACGCCCGGAGGTCGCGCCCGCTGCCTGCGCTCCTCGCAGGTGCAGCTGCCGCTCTGGCTCCTGTGCTACACGTAGCTCTGGCCAAATATTATCTCGGTTCTTCTTATCCTCACCACCCACCCCTTCGGTTGTTTTCATCATAACAATGACTGGCATATTTTTCCTGGCGGGTTTAAAAGCAACGGTCAGCGATGAGACTGACTCACCCTGAGAATTTGTCTCCTCAGCTGGGTCTTCCTCAAGTCTGTCCCGCCTGCGCGGAAGTGGGGACAAAGCCATCCCTTAATTTGCACCTTATTTGAAAATCACTAACAAACTTGTTACTGTAGCCGTGGGTCCAGAGATCATGGTCGTTGACAACTATAAGCAAACGGGAACGTTGTGGAGAGTGAGGGTGGGGGGAGGGTGAGTGGCAAAGAAGCATTACTGTTTGCAAGGTTCAAAACAAACAAAAAACCCAATACTCTTTCTAGTGGACTTTGAGATCTACAAGAGATCATTCATTGCAAAATCCATTCAAAAACGTGCATTTTAAAAGCCAGAGCAGTGACGACTTAAAAAACTGACAATAATAGAGGGTAGGGGAGACTGTCAATGCAAAGCATTTGCTTGCTCTCCAACTGATAGGCATTAGCTTCTTACTAAAGTGATAGATGACTAAGTGGAAAACCAACAAACTTAACCACTGTTCCTGCAGCCATACAGGTGTTCAAAGATTCATTTCAAATTTAAAACGCACCAAGCAGTAGACCAAGGCAGCTTTAAAAACTACCCATTTTGTAGTCAAATTCTGACATAAGTTTAAAAATTGCCATTTCTAACATCACAGTAGGAGCAATACACTTTCTGAAACAGCTTTAAATGATCACATTCTTATAGTCCTTTAAAGAACCATTTTGCAAAATCATACATGCCAATGTCCAAGCTGGGATTAACTTCATCAGTGACAGCAATCACAATGAGTAAGAGAAAACAAGTGATGTCAAACGACTTCATGGCAGTAGGATTACTCTTTACCCTTCATATCTTTCATTTCAAAAACTAAACAGAACAATACGTGAAAAATCACACTATTTCTAGTGTGTTTAAAATATGCGATAGAAGATATTACTGTATACATACCACAACATATACAAATGACTTGGTTATTTTCCTATTTTGTGTCCGAAACTATTTTAAATGTGTTTTAAAAGAGTAACAATGACGTCCAGGGGGCTTAAATGTGATTGGTGACCAATCATAAGTGGGATTAATCAGTATTTCTGAAGGAAACAAGCTTGAAGGCAGATTTGAGGACATATGTTAGCAATGAAGGAAGGGGTCACAAACATGCTATAGAACAGTACCTGAGGATGAATGTGGAGGTGGGGTTGCCAGAATGGACTTGGAATGGGAGAGAACTACAACCTTTGTAAGGAAATCTATGCTTTTTGTCTGGAGAGGCAGCATAGTTTGCAATAAAATGTTCTGTGGTTTCTCCTCCGCCCTCTTCAGCAACCATCCCATCTCTCCCACCCCAATTTAAAAGAATGCACACATACACAAAATATAAACAAGTCAAAAAACTCAAACATTTGTCTGGTTAAAAAAAATAATAGTAATGATAAGGAATGCTGCAAAAGGGCAACTTTACCGTGTGATGTGTATGTAGATTGTTTAAGTATTTAAACATGGGACTTTCAGCTGCCGTGCTGCGTCTCCTTCTCCCCTGGACTCCTTACCAGTTGCTTATTCTAGTCTAGTCCCTTGGTACTGCCAGTGGGGGCAGAGGACAAACCATGGAAGCTACAACATGAGGGGGTAGCTCTGATAGCAAATCTCTAGTACCAGTGGAACCCTCAAGTAAACAAAGGCCTGGAAGCAACTGGATATATAATACCAGGGAAATAAAAGCAGGATAAAAGAATCATAGCTGGGAGTCCCCTTAACAATAGTCTACTTCAGTTTTCTCATTTTACAGATGTAGAAATCAAGATCCTGAGATGTAGCAAATTCATAATTACAGAGCTGATTTTGGTAGAGCCAAGACCAAAACAAAGGTGCCAGGTTCAGTTTTCTTTAATACCTCTTGAGAGTACTTCTCACATCCAAGAATTTAAGGGAGGTCTGGTAAGAAACGGATTAACTTTTTTTTTTTTTAAATGAAGAAAGAAAGGGAAGAATAGATGAAGAAAGGGAAAAAATAACTGTCTAGATGGCACGTAGGAGTGAAATGGCCACTGGTGATTCCCTATCAAAGAAGCATAATCCCAAAGTGATAAACTGTGGCATTTGAGTATTAGCCCAGAATCTTCCAGAAAACCACAAATGGCTTTAATAACTCCTGGAACTACTTGGAGCTATCTGTATATCTAACAAATATTTTCATTACTTTATATTTATGTCTAGATTTTTATTTCATCTATGGTTGGGCAATGGGTGAGTTCTATACTGAAAGTTCACATTCTTTTCCTGCCTAATAAATACATCATTAATTAACTGACTTTTAATGGCATAATGTGATTGGAAACTGGTTATATATATTTACATTTCCCTGAAATATTAAATATGGTGAATTTGTAATTATTATAAATTATGTACCCAGGAATGCTGTTTAATATTTTAACAGAGGGCCTTTAACACAGAAACTATCTCTGTAATCTAAAAGCCTTCCTATAGAGATTATAGAAAATATTACAATTGAACATAAATGTCCTATAAGGCCCACATAAATTCATTTTATGACCATGAATATTATAGCTCTAAATTTATGGTTGCATAAAATCAATGACAGAGGAATGGGAGGGGGAACAGAGAATTGAAGAGAACTTCCAATCACCCTTGACCATGTCTTTCTCTTACTGCACCCCTCTCCAACAATCCAATAATTTTCAAGGACTTTCCCTGCTACATGTCTCTTGAATCCCTCCACTTAGCCACCTTGTTCAGATCACTATCCTCTCTAGTCTCTATCACTCAATTAACTCTTAAATTGTCTTCCTACAGCTCCTTTCTGCCAAACCATCTTCCACAGCACAGCCAGAAGACTCTAAGTATATAAATTTGATCATGCTGTTCTCTGGCTTTAAAAATCCCCATTCCTAAAATAATACCCAAACACTTAACAAGGCCATTTCAGATCCCTGCCACTGTTATGGCCTCCCCACTCCTACTTGAACTCTGTGTTCAAGCCATAATGTACCCCTTTACTCTCTAATTAGCTAGAGAGGTCTTCTTCCAAATGAGCACCCTGTCTTTATCCCCTCACCCTTCCCCACCTCTGCTAAGTCTGGCCAACCCTTATATATCCTTTCAGGTATCAGCTGATTTCAAAGGTTACCTTCCTAGGCACTCGTTCAAAGCTGCAGAAGAGCCTCCTCTTTACACATAGACCATAGTCATACATAACAACTCATACTTATCCTCTCAAATCAAATATCACACTATCTTAGATTATCTGATTTACTCATCTGGACCTCCCACTAGAGTGTAAGCTCAGTGGATCCACTGCTTGGCTATACAACCCTAGCAGAGTAGATGGCAAAAAGTAAGTGTTCAAATAAATATTTATTGAAAAACTGAATAATTGCACACATTCTAAGAACTGATCCTATGTATTCTTTCTTGGGTTTCTTCTTGAAGGGATCTTTACAAAGAAGATGTTAAGGCACAATCCCTGCCTCCTTGAATTATTAATTAAAATCACACCGGGGAGTAGAGACTTACCCACAAGAAACATTTATGGAGCAATATATCAAAATTTATTAATAAAGTATTAAATGGAACATGATCAAGTGACAGAAACTCCAATTGAAAGAAGGAGCACTATGGGTGGACAAAAAATTAGCCCTATATGCCTACTCTGCCAGTTACAAAGACAAGAAGACACAATTTCCAAAACTATGGATATGAATGTTAATGGCATATGAATGGTAAATGAGAAGGCCAGAAAAAAGTGTGTTAGCTGTCAACTCCAGCCTTACCACAGTCAGCGTCAGCAGCCTGGATTGTGGTCTGAGAAGAGGCCCTGAAGGGCTGGGTAGTGAGATTTCCCCATCCCATCTCTTTTCAAAGGCAGCAGAATCAGCAAAAGAGGGCATATTTGGAAATAAGAATACTGAAGCTACGGGAGCTAGATCAGACCTGACAGCCTCCCAAGGAGAAGGAGGTATGTTTTTATTTCCATGACATTAAACAAGGGAATTTAAGCTGCTGACGGGTATTCTCCCTGACTAGCTTTTTGGATGACTATTATACGCATATTAAGAAGAATCTGTGAACAGGGAGTTTCAAAGTGCTTTTCACACAAGTCACCAAGACCGAGGTCTGTTCACTAACTATATTACTGAATTATAAAAGAGGAGGCTTTGATATGAGATCATTTCAATATTGCCTTTTTAATTTATTAAATTAAGAAAACTGCAGAAAAATCCAAGGAAGAGAAGTAATTACATGTAATCATTTATGCTTTTAAAAAGCAAATTTTGTCAAGAACTGTTGTTCCTGATTTGAACAACTTACAATATTTCACTTCCCAAAAATGTTAGGAGGGTGATGCTTATTACAAGTACTGATGAGGAAGTTAATTAGAACTTCATGATTATGAATTCACAGATCACCATTTCCTTTACAATATTTCCATAACTATTGATTCTTTAATCCTTTTTACTAGTGAAGTCTGAAATTTTAAGTTGAGCACTCATTTCTACTAGAAAAGGAAAGACTTACTGTAATTAGAACCTGAACTTACAAGCATAAATTGATTTTAAAATAACTGTATTCTGGCTTATATCCCCATTCAGAGATTCTCTGCTCCTTCCTTTCAATTTAGTTTAATCAACCTTTCTCTGGATCCATTTCCTTACTTCTCTTCCTCAGACGCAATGCAATCATTGTTAACTTTCTCCCTGTTCTGGTTATCACATTTTATCTGCAGTTCTTTAGCCTTTTGGCCATTCATCTGCTAGTCTTGCTCCTCTACCAGTGTGCTTGTCTGCAAATCAGTACTACTAAAAATATGCTATTCCAGTCAACTGGGTTCTTAATGCTGCATTTTGTTTTGCTTTGTTCTTATAATTACACCTTTATATGCCTGGACACATTCTCTCCTATTTCTCATAGCCACGATTTTGAATTTGATCAGTTCCTTTAAATTCTCTAACCAGAAGGAGCTGGGCAT